CAAAAAGAGAGAGAATCTTTGTTCCTGAAACTTCCAGAGTCTCTTTCCAGAAGAGGGGACACATGTTGATGTAGAAGAGACATGAAGAAGAGGGGACACATGTTGATGTAGAAGAGACATGAAGAAGAGGGGACACATGTTGATGTAGAAGAGACATGGAGAAGAGGGGACACATGTTGATGTAGAAGAGACATGGAGAAGAGGGGACACATGTTGATGTAGAAGAGACATGAAGAAGAGGGGACACATGTTGATGTAGAAGAGACATGGAGAAGAGGGGACACATGTTGATGTAGAAGAGACATGGAGAAGAGGGGACACATGTTGATGTAGAAGAGACATGGAGAAGAGGGGACACATGTTGATGTAGAAGAGACATGGAGAAGAGGGGGACACATGTTGATGTAGAAGAGACATGAAGAAGAGGGGACACATGTTGATGTAGAAGAGACATGAAGAAGTGGATTTGGTTTGTACTTACGGAGCGTAGAGTTTGGGGAACTTCTGCAGATCGCTCTCGCTCAGATTCTGCCGAACAGAGAAACAGTGAGTTGACATTTTAAACTCTTCACCCTTTTCACTTTCTCTCGATGTCTCTGAATGTAAACTCACCACAAATCTGGAGCCGCTGATGGAGTTCTTCAACACCACTTTATCACAGCCGCTCAGACTCATCTGCAATTACAGACAGCACATTGAAACGTGTGGAAATGTAAATATATACGTTTGTTACAGTTCACGTGTTCGGTTAGTTCACGTTGTTTTGTGTTGTCCGGTCCGAATTCACGTCTTTTCTCGAGGAATCACCTGATGGAGCTCCTGGTGAGTCCCACGTTTCTGAAAAGGACTTTGGACACGTATCCAAACATACGCAGAGCTGCATTCAAAGGGATCCGTTACTCCATCCAACACGAGACGTTATCAAGACGTCTTCATGAAGAAAACCCATTTCAAACGTCAGCCTTTACGCCGACGACAGTCTCTCTCCTACACCGCTGATCTCTGTCTCCTTGTGGCTCGGTTTCTCAAATTGTCACAACAAGTTCTGGACAGATTTGTATGAAACTTGTTAGACTTCTGTCTCACGGGTCGAGGACGGAAGCTTTGTGTTTTGGAGACGATTTAAATCAGGCTTCTCCTGGTAGGTCACGTGACCTCACGGGATCCATCAGACGTCCGTAGATCAGACGATATAAAGGTTTCATCGAGTGTTTGCTTCTGTTCTGTTTTCACCAAATGAAGACTTCCGGGATTAGAAGTCGTTTTCCATTTTGATCAAACCGTTAAATAACTTCTGTGTTCAGATCCTTCTTCCCGAAGACTTTGGGAAAGAAACAGATGAGTTTCTTTGTTGGGAAACCAAATCCTACGCTTGTGTTTCCGCTGAACGGTGAACTCTGTTTGACTCAGCCAGCTCTCCTTTGGTTTCCATTTGGAAAAGTCCTGGAGAGTTCCTCGCACTTTTTAAGCACAATCCGAGCCAAGGATCCAGTTTGGAGTAGAAGGCGGAGTTAAAACACTGCAGGCTTTTGATTGGTCCAGAGAATCGACACTCAGGAAAAAATTGAGGAAATGAAGGAGCTTTGAGAAACTGGACGTGCAGAAAGAAAGAAGTCAGAGGACATGTTTGAGGTCTTAAATGTAGACGTTAGAGATACAGACGGTGCGTTCAAGTTCTTAAATAAGAAGTCAGAGACGGTAGTTTGAGGTCCTAAATATAGACGCGAGAGACAGAGAGGGTGTGCTCAAGGTCTCATGTTAAGTTGTCAGAGACGGTGTGTTTGAGGTCTCATGTTAAGTTGTCAGAGACGGTGTGTTTGAGATCTTAAATGAGAAGTCAGAGAGGGTCGTTTTGAGGTCTTAAATACAGACGTTAGAGATACAGATATTATAGTTAGAGATGTTAGACATAGAGACGGTGCGTTCAAGGTCTCGTGTTAAGATGTCAGAGAGACAGAGGACACGTTTGAGGTCTTAAATGCAGGCGTTATAGACACAGACGGTGCGTTTGAGGTCTTAAATACAGGCGTTATAGACACAGACGGTGCGTTTGAGGTCTTAAATGCATGCGTTATAGACACAGACGGTGCGTTTGAGGTCTTAAATGCAGGCGTTATAGACACAGACGGTGCGTTCAGGGTCTCACCCGGGTCAGGTACTCTGCCAGTTGCTGAGGGCTCCATCCCGTCACCTCGGCTCGACTCGGCACTCGCTCTCCGCTCATCTTGAATCTGAAGTGAAACCACAGCTTCAGGACGAAAACATCTGAAGCTTCTCTCTCCAAACGTCTCCAAACGTTTCTGAAACTCAGAAAATAAAAGCTGCCGGCCGTCCTCTCACAGTTTCACTTCCTCAAAACCAAGCACTAAGACGCCGCTGAGAAACCTAAATCCAAAATGGCTTCCTCCTCTTGCGGGCCCCCCCCCGCCCTCTGACAGGAAGTGACTTTGCAACACCCCCCATCTTTGGTGTGACCACAGACAGGAAACAGGAAGTGGATCAGCGTCTCTGCAGCGGCTTCAACTGCAGTTCAATATTTTAATTTAGCACACATTCAAAGTGCTGGTCAGGGAGTTCATGGGCCTTTCCAAGTACTAAACATAATACTAAAAACACACAAAGGTGGTAATTCATTTATCCTTCATTTCCTTTTTTTAAATTCTGATATTTAAGAAACATTTATAGAATACAATAGAATATATGTTTATTGTCATCATACAAAGTACAATGAAATGTCTTTGGCAACTCTTCCTGCACATTCAATGTCAATGTGCATATTCACATTACATCACATGTCACTTGTTAAACACTTTTATCCAAAGCGACTTACACACTCTGTACTGTGGGCAATTCCCACAGGAGCACTTTGGGGTGAAGCGTCTCAGGGACACAACGACATGCTGACTGCAGTGGGGTTGGAACCTGTTTGACCCCCTGATCAACACCAACGCACTATCCACTGCGCCACAAGCCTCCATTTACACTTACAGTCTGAATATATATTAGTAAAATAGCCATAAGTATGTCTAAATAGAAGTGCTTGCAGTCTTTGGGGGGTGAAGTGTTCCTCAGTCTCTGATGATGCTGCTGGCCCCAATATTTCACTTGTTCCCCCGATTTATGGAGAACCTTATGACGATGTTATTTTAATGTTTGATTTACTTAAAGGTAGGGTAGGTAATTTTGGAGAAACCAGCTCGAGTGCGCTAGAATTTGAAAATACACAGCCAGAAAAAATCTGCCACTTCCTTACAGAGCCCCTCCTTCAACGCGCACATGACCAATGAGGGCACGAGATCAGTTAGGGCACAGATGGAAGGCTGATAGGCAGGTAGGCCATCCATCATTTTAGCCGGCCGGGTCGTGCTTTTTACAGCGCCATTGCTTCCACAGATGACATATTTTTATATATTTATTGTCAAAGCATTTCATTTATTCATTGCTATCGGGATGTTAAGAGCATTCCATGGAATATAACAAGTGTTTCTGAAGTGAATTACCTACCCTACCTTTAAGAAGTTTAACATTTAGTCAGACTTATTAATTCAGTGTTACATCTTTTGGGACCAGACTGGAAATATTACAAACTTAATGCAATTTTAATTTTAAGGTCTGCTGACCAGCTGCTGCTCATAGTGCCCAAGACCAGGCTCAAAACCAGAGGGCACCGAGCCTTCGCAGCAGCTGGCCCCAGGCTCTGGAACACTCTGCCCCTCCATGTGAGGTCGGCCCAGTTTTTTTAATCTACTCTTAAAACACACTTCTTCTCTCTGGCCTTCTCGTCAGAGCGGAGCATCACACCTCACTATTCCCTGTGTTTTATTTTTTATATTGCTGTTGTAAATGATTGTCTTTTATTGTGATTGTAGTAATGTGTTTAACTAACTTGAAACTTGAAACAATCAAATCAAATCAAATCAAGTTACTTATTAACTTGATTTGATTAAATTATTCGGAAAAAATATACGTTTAATATTCAGGACACAAAGTAAGAACAGAATTTAATTAGAAACCTGTGTATGTGATTTATTTCTTATTTCTGTTTATATATATATATTAATGCTGTCAAAATTATCGCGTTAACGGCGGTAATTAATTTTTTGAATATATTTAACACATTTAACGCATGTGCCGAATGGCCCGCCCCATACATCCCACCAGTGGCAGCGCCAGGGTATGGCTGGGGTAGGCTGCACCCATACCAAGAAATGGCTTAGCCCCACCATGAAAAATGATGTTAAAGTAAGCAAAATAAAGTCCGCCAACTCGCGCCGAGAATTGCACAGACAGCAGTTAGAAAGATTGATTTCAGAAGCCACTTGTCTGGAAATACCGAAGACCAGAAACGGTTTTGAAAACTTTTGTCACGTAGTGATCGTCTTCTCAATAGAACATCTTTGATAATGTCTTCTGGCCAATCAGAATCAAGATAACGGCGTGGTGTTGTTGCAGGAAGTTCCGACGGAGAATACTTTTGCTGTAATACAGGGGTGCACATAACTGGTATGCAGGTTATGTGCGTAATCTGAAATGCGTACCGTCACTTGTGTCACAAAGCGCATTTGCGGACCGACGTACTTGTGAAGCTTTGCAAGAAGGCGGTTAGATCACCGGACGACAGAGTCGGTCTCCGTGTGCACAGACAGGGCTGCTGTTAACGTCGGTCTGTACGACGGAATTGTGTCAAAACTACACCAACCGGCTGCAGAGGGAGACCCCCCCCCCTTCCTATGCCCCCTTCACTGGAGAACTGCGCTAAAACAGCTGATCACAACGTTCACACTCTGTGGTCACGAAGTACTCCACTAGCCCCCCCCGTCGACTTTCCTGAAGTACTCTCCCGTTGATAGAAATCAACACGTAATGAATTAAGACCCCACGGTTTGATGATTGATAGGTGTGTGGGCTGTCTTTCATTTTGACACACAGAAAAATGTTATAATAAACATACATAGGCTACTGTATGTTAAATGGATATATCCGCCTTCTTTCATTTATCTTTCCATTCGCACAACAATATACATAAAGAAATGGCATATTTTGGACATAGTTCGAATGGTGATTAATCATGATTAAT